TATATATATTATGTACCTACCTTAAATTAATTAACATGAGAGCAAACAATCAAACAAACAAGAATATTTTTGTTCTGTATTTGCCTAATTGCCCAGCGTCCATTCCAATAACGCTAATGGAATTTTTGTCGCAGTTTTGATTGAGGTTTTTATTAGATTTTGATAGCTCCGATGTGTTTATTGGAGTTTAGTTAAGTACGTGAAAAATTTATTCACTATTTTATTAGCTCATAAGATTTAAATGCCGCATTTACTCAAGCTGCTTTTGTTGGATTTTTATTTGAAATCCGCATTATTCTTGACAAACAAGCGGAGGAAGTTTTAAGAAACGTTTGTTCATTTATTATCTAAGACTAGCCGGTGTGTAGCCAAAGTATATTATTTATTGCATACTTAATAGAAACAGAAGGTTAGGTATAAAAATAAATTGTTCTTTGCATGACAAATCAATAATGCGTTTTGAGAGACTGCATGATGTTCGCCCAATAATGAAAATCAATTGCCTACCTACCCACACCTGCATGTTCTTTGATTTTTAAAGCAACCTGATCCCGGGTATCACATGTGTTTAGAAATTTTATACGCCTAGTGAGGTTCGAATTTCAAATTATACAGCAAAATTTCAACCTCCCTGGTGAAGAGCTCATTCTGCTAGCTGCAATTGAGAATGTAAAAGCTAAATTTGGAGTTAATATGGCCCAATCGTTCGTTCTAAAATATCAACAGGGAATCTGCTGACATCGGGGAAGTCAGCAACACATTGGAAGCAGGATATTTAAAATGCAGCTCTGCTCGTGCTGCTATATTACTGCTTTATTCTGCTTCAAACCGCAACCCAGCAATAACCATCGTTTTCGAAATACTTATATCAATTTCCATTTTGGTTGCTAACTTCACTCTGCTTGGCAACACATTGGAAGCAGGATCGCTGAAACAGGTTCCTGCTTGTCCTGCCTCATTCTGCTTAAAATATGACCCCGGCAACACGTACTATTTTCGAGACATAGGAATTTCTATTATGGTTGGTAACTTCACCCTTGTCTTGGCAACACATTGGAAGCAGGATCGCTTCAAAATGTTCCTGCTTGCGTTGCTATGGTCCTGCCTCAATTGCTTCAATTACCCCAGCAACACCTAATATTTTTGAGATACATAAAACTGGTAGCATTACAAGAGTCTAATCGTAGGAATACGGCGAGCTTGAAACACCGTTGCCAAATGGATCATAATGAGTGCTTGTCTCTCTATGTTGATATTTTGGACGAAGAGAGCTATTCCAAAGTTACCCGTCCTCATACTAAGTGCGACCGAGGATGTTGGTATTTTAGAACAAAAGAGCTAACCCAAACTAACCCGTCTTTTTGCAATGAATGATAGTCTTTGTATGTTGGTATTTTGAACCAAAAGAGCTAATCCAAATCGCTGGTATCTCGAAAATAGTACGTGTTGCCGGGGTCAGATTTGAAGCAAGATGAGGCAGGATTATAGCAGCACAAGCAGAAATATGTTTTAGCGATCCTGCTTCGAATGTGTTGCCAACTTCCTCGACATAATCGGCTGGCGTACGTCAGTCATATTTGGAACTCGACTCTCGAAAAACCTGGCGAATCCAGAATTTTAGCAGGCCACTGCGTGCAGGGCCGTAGCTAGAGTCAAATTTGTTATAGGGCATGAAAAATTTGATATAGGGCATGCACTACTTCCCCCCCCCCTTAAATTTTTTATAGGTAAACAAAATGGGAGTAATGGCGCCGAAGGCAAATTTTTCAATAAACAATATGGAATAACATCTCTGGCAAGTAAACAAAATGGCGCGTTCAGGCAATAATTTTTGAGGGACCTCTTGTACTTCAATAATTTTTGAGGGACCTCTTGTACTTGTACTAACTTATAAAAATAACTGTATACCTACCAACTTACTCGATTTCAGTTGTATTCATTAGCTGTGGTCCAACCGACATGGGAACCGTTCCAGAACCAGTAATTTCCTATTGTTCACCTAATTTTCAATAAGTTGAAAGTTTATCCTACTTGACAAATGAATTGATCGACTGGAAATTACCGTTCTAGAACGGTTCTCATGTCGGTTGGAACAGTGCTTTCATCTACTCTTAAATTTCCTAGAGAAACCTCAACGCATGCTGTGTTTTAAAGGTAGGGCATCATCATTTGAAAGATAGGGCATTGCCCCCCAATGCTCCCCCCTGGCTACGGCCCTGACTGCGTGTTGTGTTCGATGATGGTGGGTATTATTCTGATACACTACCTATAAATGCTGGTATTTTCCAAGGCTCAATTCTATCCCGAACATTGTTTCTCATTTGTATAAATGATTTGTTTAATGTGACAATAAGAAACCCCATATACAGCTTTCGGACGATAGTATAGCTTGATGTCATCTTTCTCTTCTGAAAAACCGCTTACTGCAGCCTTTTCCACACACCTCGCCCGAGAACAGACTTACTCTATCAACAGTGATCTTGACTCCACTACCAACTGGGGCCTTAACAGCCTAGTCAAATTCAATGCTCCCAAAACTCAAGCAGTAGTATTTTTAAATAAGAAATCTTCCGCCGATGACAATCTAGATTAATGTATGTCCATCGGGACAAAACCTTTCTATCAATCCCTCAGTAGGTAGGTATTTTTTCTTGGAGTGAACGCATCAATCACAGTTTGTCTTGGCATGACTATGTATCTTAGATTGCCAGAAACCGCTTCTCAAAAATGAGGTTTTCTGTTTCGTGCAAGAAGCTTCTTTACTTCTGAACAATTTCTTATCCTTTGTAAGGCTCAAATCAGACCATGTATGGAATACTGTTCCCATACTGGAGCGATGCTCCCAAACATTGCGTTTGATCTATTAGATGCAGTACAAAGAAAAGCAATAAAAATTATCGATAATCAAAATTTCACCGATTCATTGCAATCTCTCGAGCATAGACGCAAGGTGTCCGACGTGTCGTATTTCTATCGCTATTGCTATTACCATGGGAGATGTTTTGAGGATCTGGCCAGCGTCATTCCAGGTAGGAGAAGTTATTTAGGAACCACAAGAGCCTCACAGAAACCTCATCCGTATGTGGTAAAGTTGCCTACCCCAAGGACTTTTAAATATAGGGGCTTTCTGATAGCGTACTGTCCACCTCTGGAACTCCCTGTCTACTATTTCATTTCCTGAAAGATTTAACCTCAACGTGTTTAAACGGAGGGTTATTCGTCTCTCCAGTCCTTACCTCTATCAAATGTCAGCGAGAATAGGTTCTAACCTGAATCTATGAGGAACGAACCAGTCTCAAAAAGTATATGAAACCAGAAAGTTGAAACAGTTCGTCAAGAAATTGAAACTGTTCTCAGGAAGTTAAAAGCTTTCACCCCAGAAATGGATAGTTTTGAGAAATGATAAAGTTGGGATGTGTTGGTGTTAAGCCACCGTTATACGGCGGCAAGACATCTTCCAGTTCATCCAAACTCTGTCGCCAGGTTTCCAACGAATCTATGGTGAGCTTAATGTTGATGCTTCAAAACGTCTTTATGGAAATCAACATCAACGAAAGCTTTAACAGGTACAAGCCAAGACATCAGAAAGCTGTCGAAAGTTCAAAAAATTCAAAATCGATATCCACCCTCTGAGCCTTATTCGGAAGTCACATCGAAGAAGCGAGAAAGAACATCTAGCAGCCAAAAATTGTGGAATAGGAGATATGCATGTATGCACGGAGAATGCTGTTCATAACCAAACTATCAAATAGCAGTGAATCTCTAATCAAAGCTCTAAAAATCGAAACATTCCATGGGAAATCGAATCCAAAAATCATAGCTATGTCGATCAAGAACCAACATAGAAATTAAAGGAGGTTAGCTCAGCATTATAAAGGGAATTTTGGAAGAAATACGGGAGATTCTTAACAGAATCAAAAAAGGGGATACTGAGTGCTACCGCTGAGAAAAACCATGAAATTTTTAGCATAGAATGAACGTCGTTCCCTTCTGGGGCCCGATTCTTGTCCCAGGAAGTAGAGCTCCCCGAGAAAACAAATTTTTCGTCTTTATCATTATTTTGACTTTCCGATTACGTTGACAATGACAAAACATTCGTTCTATCGGGGAGCTCTCCTCCCTGAGACGAGAATCCGGCCCCTGGGTCCTTGTTCTTGAAACAGGGGAGCAGCATTCCCAGGAAAACGAATGTTCCGTCTTTCTCAATGATATAAAAATGATAATGTAAGTAACAAAGAAGGAACACTCGTTCTGCTGGAAGCGCTGCTCCCCTGTTTCAATAATGAGGACCCTAGTCTTTTTCATCGTTCAGAGGGGATCTTCGAAGATACTACCAAATGTTAGGCACCGCTTCTAAACAAGAGGGCATTTCAAACGTCACTGTAGAGTTACTAGTCTATTGTGAACAAGCATTTAAGAATTCTAGAAAAGCATCGAATTGAATGTTTTGTACGTAAGCGCGTATATCATTTTAGACATTAGGGCCTAGGCTATTCACCTTCTGATAAACTGCCAGGTAATGCAATTTGTCGGATGAAAACGCAATCTATGACCCCATCGGTCGGCCGGATACTAGTTTGGTATATTTGTCTGGTAGCCAGTAACCAGCAAGTTTATCGGAAGCTGAATAAACCGGGCCTTGATCCAGTTTAAATAAGAGAATCGAATAATCTTGAGTAAAAATCAAGTACCTAGGTGCCTGATTCAATGGAAGTGTTTATTAATATCTAAAGTTGTTCGTTGACCTGCGGAGCCTGCGACAATATCTAATCCTAGAGATGTAAATGAAACGATCAATAAAATTTAAAAAATAAAAATTTATTATTAGGAAATATTATTAAGTATAACAAAAACTTTAAACTCTATAATAATCATTCTTATGATGATTTTATAATAATATTTTTGCAAAACCTTTCAAAGATTTCATCAAATAAAAATATAAAAAAGTACAGCTACATATTAAGAAAAGAAAAACATGATATGTAGCATAAAACATTAATAAATAATACAAGTTGGTAGCACAACAACATCTTAAATCGTAGCAGCAGTAATATTTTGTAATTAGGTAATACAGTAAATGTACTTGTAATGTTTAAACAGATTCAAAAAGTAGAATAATTGTTAAGATAGCACAACCCTTATATGATTCAAGTTACTATCCAGATTGAAAACTTCCCTTTGACATGAAAAAAGATTTAAATTTTAAATAAATTTGGCTTAGATGCATAGAACATAAATGCAGTATTTTCAGGACAAATATAAGTCTCATTGTAAACTACTATCACCTATTTTTTATGTATTCTTTAACAAATTACTATATTGATAAAATGGACAAACACATATTTGTAGGTCATCAGTATAAAATTATTATTCAAAATACATTTGGTTAACTGCATCTACGGAAACTTATGTCATCATACCCATCCTACGCTTACATAGATTATAGAAAGCATTAATATAAGATGATGGTGTTTCACCATTTAGAAGCCGTTTTTAATTATAACGTCATTCCTTGCTCACGAGCACTAGACGTTAGAAAATTGGTTTGTTTTGGTTCCTACCAGAACCAGTTCTAGAATCGTTCCAAACGGCTGTATAATTTAGTTTTGATCGCAATTAAAAACAAGTCATTCGTGAACATTTACAAATAATTATTTTGAACGGTTCCAGAACCGATGCCGATTGAAACCAAAACAAACATGTACTGCACAATTTCTATTTTGTAACTACAGAAATCGGCCCTAAAGAAAAACCTCTCCTACGTCAACGATAAAATGAAGTGGCCGCCGAAGTATCCGTGTTATTAATCATTGTGTCGTCCTGCTGCCTTTCCATTCGATGTGCAAAAGGTAGGTGGCGAAGGCGTAGACGAGAGTGTTCAAGAGACCAAATACCTAAGAAGAAAAAATAATTACTATCTAATATAATTTGCTTTTTTGGCTAGAAGCTAAAGAAGACTTTCATGCTGAAACAAATAGAAGTTATATATATGGCGCTACAAGTCAAGACATAAATGAAAATATGAAGCTGATATCAAATGTAAATGATCAAAATATGTAGATATAAAATATGTTGAAAAAGAAAAAAATTATGAAAGTCGTATGTATATTATGTGTGTGCTTTACTAACTTTTTCCAACTATATTTATTTCTGGAGAGTAAAGAAAGGATAAAAGAATGAGAAATATATAAATATGTCAGGGACCATCGACAACTTCTCTCCTCGCTGTGTTTAGTTTTGGGATAATTCATATAAATGGAAGGCGTTCCGCATCAATTTGCCCTTGTGAATAAACATGCTCTATTAGACCCAGTAACTAGACCATCGCCTCTTTTGTCCATAGCAGGAAATTTAGAATCGCAGAAAATAACGAGAGTCGTATTACAAAATTATTGGAAGCCACCGAAAAATTGGACTCGACAAAGATTTGAAAATCTGAACCAATCATTCTACATGAGTAATTGTTTTCATCATTCATCTAAAAGAAATAGATAAATTGAAACGACTGATAAATGACTCCGTTTTTATTCATAACTTGCCCGGATTGTTTGTCAGATTTCCCACTTAAATAATTTACTGTAGCCTTGTTGTGTAAGGTCGAGGCAAAGCAAAAACGATATACAAGGAATTTTGCTTAAATAAATAATAGGAATATGCACGTAACTAGGAGAAAATGGGAAAGTGACATTTTAAGGCAATAATAATTGCCCTAGAATAGGTAGGTACATAATATGTCATGATTTCCACGGGGTAAAAAGGGAAAAGTTCGGATTCATTACCGTTTTGTTTTAAATTTTTCTATTTTGTTGAGCTCAATTTTGAGTTATCGAGAAGTCTAACAAAATTACTCATGGCTACGGAACTCTTCCTTTTTGTCATTCATCGTTGGCATCTAAAGTTCGGGAGACTGAACTGGATAATGTTTCTTCTTCAGATTTGATAGAATGAAAGTTGTAAGTGAGGAGTTCAAAACTGTGATTTCAAATTAATTTTTTGTGTGTTTGTTCTACTCTGGCATCTCCCTTTTTCAAAAAAAAATCTGAATTTTGAGAAACTGCCCTAATTACCAGAAAAAAAGGCCAAATATTAAACAACATTTTTTATGTCCCGCGCTACTGTCCCAATGACAACAAAACTAAAGGTTAAAAATAGCAACATTATTCTCCTACGTTGTTAACAATAATATTTCTCAGGCAAGTGTATTTCCACGGCAACTCGATGGCAAACAGTTAATTATAATATACGTACCCAATGTTCACTGCAATTATTAAATAACCTTTAACTTGAATAAGTTTTAATGATATATGACACATTTATGGGATTTTTCGTCTAATTTTATAAAGTACCTGGTACCTGTTACTACCTACTTATTCCAATTTATTGAGTTACAAATGGGTACCTACAGGTTAATAGCACAGATCTTGATTAGCTACCCTAATTAGTAAATAAAGGAATTTTTAAAAAAATTTAAATTTCGTCAACATTATCGTCCGTCAGTACTTTCTAATTTTTTCGTGAAATAAAACTACAAAAAAAAAAAAAATTAAGGTCGTTTCAAGTCGCCTCGTTTACAAACGTCATATGGCCTTAAACGCATCAAGTGGCAAATAGCTGTTAAATACACCTAACTGAATACATGCATATATAATTTCCTAGATGAGCTTCTTGTGATGAAACGATTTTTAGGCTTTTTTGATTTTGTCCTCTATGGCAGGTTTTATCTTATTACATACAGGGTGTCCCACAAGGTTTTTCCCAAATGATAACTTTGGAACGCATCATCGTATGTTCCACTGTATAATTTTTTATCATTTTTTTCAACAAAGCCTTAACAAATATGGCATTGCCGATTTTGTAATTTAATTTTTTAACGAAAAATGCCATATTATACCATGAGTTACATTTAAGATTTGATAGTTGACGTCACTTGAGACACTTGACCGAAATTAAAACCAAGATGGTGAAATTGGATGACAATGGTAGAAGCGGCACAAAAAGTTACCAAGATCCTCAAAATTTCAATTACATTGGATGACACGTTCTGAAGTTATTACCTGGTCGGGGATTCTAAAATCACGATTCGACATACGACTCGATATCGAGACGATTTTTCCGACGATTCTAGGTTAGAAATCTCATTGGAATTATACCTTTCGACACGACAAGGCCGGTATCGTTGTCGAGTCGTGTGTCGAATCGTGATTTTAGAATCTCGACCCTGGAAAAAACGTCTTGGGACACCCTGTATAATTACATATTATCATTATGTGTCTCAGCAGTAGTTCTGGCGATGAAGAGGAAAAGAGCAGGAACAAAAAGGCTCTATCCTATTGATCAAGAAGATTCATGAATAAAATCGTGAAGAGTTTCATAATCTATTCAATATTCCTGGAGAAGACGCAGAGAAACGACAGCACTATTACAACACTTCGACTTGCCCTGTCGTGACTGATTCCTTTCATTTTGTTCCTACAGTAATTCCCTTCAATTAATTTTAAGCGACAATTTTCGATCGTTCCGTAGTATGTTAGATTTTTCCATCAACATTTAAAGTTCGATTCTCCAGAATTTTGTTGAACAGAACCAAATTTGACGAGGATTGATGAAGAAGTAAAAACGCACTTCACCCCTTTGAAGGCTTGTAGATCCTAACACTCGCCCAATTGGATTGGTATATGCAAAATAATTTCCCAAATCCGGAATTTTCATAATTGGGCTTTATAAAGGCATATAGGAATATGCATATAAGTATTGTTTGTATATATTCATGAATCGTTATGACACTAATTTGAATTTGTTTCGGTACAGAAGGTTTTTCTAATATTTGACTCCTTTCACTTGTTGGAATGTGCATCAATTTACATAGTAGTTTTGCCCATAGGCAAGCCCACTGCGTTGTCATATTTTAAAATTTTGCTGTAAATTTGAAGCGTGTAGTTATAACAAGCCTTTTGGACTAGTTTGGCTTAAATAAAGTGAAAGTCAATATCAACTATTTTACTACATGTATAGGTAATACTATAAATGTAACAATTACGGTCCCAATAACAAAAACCAGCAAGAATTCACTTCAACGTCTCAGAGAGACAAATGAACACACACAAGTAGTGCAATTTGTATTGGCAGTACCGGAAGGCAATTTGGATTGGAACAAGGAGCAGTCGGCATTCTAAACCTTTAATTTGCCGTTAGAGAATATGAAGATTTGAGAATATCCTGAAAATTTGCCGAAGGTGAGAAGTTATCAAAGACAACTTTGCTAAAATTTCGAATTTGGTTGGTTGAAAGATAAGGTTTCATTTTGTATTGCGTTTCCCACAACAAATCGATTGAAACATCTTCCTTCTAAAGTCGTTTTGATTGGTTGCAGAAAACTATCTTGACGAACCCAACCCCATTCTTTAGAATTAAGCCACTCTTGCACTTGTTGATATGTTATGAATGGATGTTGTGCAGCATTTGGAGAAGCGGAGGTGGGGATTTCAGTTTTGCTTTTCAGTCTTCTCCCGCGTCACGTTCGATGTTCTGATAAGTCTACGAGCTGATGCTGAAGCCTGCAAGGCTGCGAAGACCATGGAGAGGGAAGTATGAAACAATTAAAGATGTAGTAACACCCACGAAGGTAAGATGGGCCATTAATCAATTTAAACCATTCAAATCAACAGGTCCAGACGAAATATACCCAGTCCCTACTATTGTGAAAAGAATAGGACATCCTATTGCCACACCTCTGCAGATTGTACGGAGCGTGTCTGGCTTGGGACGTGGTACCAAATGGGTGGCAGCAGGTAAAGGTTTTATATTTGCCAAAAGTAGGCAAAACACTAGACCGGACACCTAAGTCATATAGACCGATAAGCTTATCCTCGTTCATGCTCAAAACTGTGGAGAGATTAGTGGATAGGCATATCAGGGACAGTACATTGCAAGCCTTCCCTCAAAGTGAACGCCAATACTGGACATAGAAGGGGCATTTAATCACGCCTCAACAAACTTTATCACAGTGGCGCTGGAGAGGAGGGGAGCTCCAACGGCACTGTGCAAATGAATAGAAACTAGTCTGAAGACAGGACAATACTATCCACACTAGGAGGAGCTACCATAAAGGCAGCGGTCGGAAGAGGATGTTCACAGGGTGAAGTTCTATCCCCACTGTTGTGGGCCATTCTGGTAGACGATTTGCTCCGGAAAAAAACGGGAGGCAGACGACCTAACGATTGTGGTACGAGGAAACTCTGCCAACACACTATCGGAAAGAAGCCAGAGGGCTCTCAAAATAGTGGAAAACTGATGCGAACAGGAGCAGCTAACAGTTAATCTATGGAAAACAACAGTTGTCCCATTCACCAAAAGGCGAGTCCTCAATGGACTGAAACCAGTGGTGTAATAGGGAGGAACTAAATTTTTACAAAGAAGTAAAATTCCTCGGAGTCATTCTTGGCCAGAAGCTCACTTGGAAATCGCATATTCGGAAGACCACACTTAGGGTAATTATTGCTTCTGAGAAATGCAGAAGAATGTGCGGAAAAATAAAATAACATCAAATCAACGATCAAACTTTGTTCTGGATTGCCACAAAGTATTAAACGAGATAGGAAGTCAGAATAAGGTGACGCTATCATGGGAACCAGGGCATGAAGGCCATCAGGGCAATGAAGGCACCGACAGAATAGACCGAGAAGGCTCGTCAATGCGAATGACCGGCCCTGAATCCTTCTGTGGGGTGGCCAAGCCTGTTGCCAAAGCATCCATCAAGAAATGGGTGGAGAAAGAATCCCAAAAATGGTGGACACACATATACCGGGACAAAGAGAAGCCAAGAAATTCTTGAAAAACCCATCGGCTAAACTAACAGCAGATCTGCTAAGCCATGATCGGAGGGCTGTTAGAATAATGGTGGGTTTTAAACACAGATTATAAATTTTCCCGTCTTGTAACTGTCGAGAGTGCACTTCGGATGTCTTGCCTCAACCAAACGAAAGTTTAAACCAAACCAGAAGCAGCAAGCTACATTAGAGAGCTATTGTCAAGGTTGTGGAGTCTGATCAGACAGATGAAACTGGACGAGACTCTATAACATCGAGTGAGTCACTATAGATCCGCAGGGTCGCAGTGACGAACAGGCGGAAAGCTAACTTTCCCAACATTTTTAATCTAATATATTATTTTAGCAACGCATTTTCGATTTTATCAGTATAACAACAAGGAATCACGACAATAAAGTTACTTAAGGAAAACCCAGTATCTATATCAAAGTTAAGAAAATTCATACGATAAAAATTCTTCAACATTGTCGAAACACAAAAGTTGCTAAATAATCATTTTTTAATCAACTAATTCTGCTTTATAAAACAAGCAGTTCCACTTGCAGTACGTCTGAAAGGTTTTCATTCTAAATTTTAACTGTAAAAACATTATCTTGATACACATAAACAAAGGTTATTTTATGCTATTCACAGTATGTTAAAATTTAAATCCAAATACCCATACGTAATATAATATGAATATGAAAAAGTTAGGTGATAAAATTTTCCGTTATTTAATATTCAGAAGAAATGCCTTTGAAATGAGTTAAATTAATAAAATTTCAACAGCTACATGTAATGAGTGAAAAAGATTACTGTAAGCGGCATACATACCAACCCCAACTAGATGTGCAATGTGCGTGTAATTCGGAAAAGAAGAGTGGTTAGGTATTTGAAAGGTGTTTGTTAGAAAATTATCATTTCAGTAATTAATAAAAAAAAGGTTTGAACATACCCCAGCTGCAATTTGCGTTCCCCTCCATGAGTAACCAGGATGAACTGCCGCAGATACAATCAACTGCAAGATGAACGCAATGAAGTAGCAAACGGTGCAGATGCCAGTGTTCACCAATTCCTGAAAGAAACGAAAAGTTTATTAGACATTTTTTTGAATATCCAATGCTTGGTAGGACAGCTTGAGAATGTCTAAAAAAAATCCTGAAAGTATAGGTAGGTAGGTACTGCTCGAGAAATGATAGATCCTGTTCAGCAAGAGAAGCTTAATAACTCTGTTTTGAAACAGCCGACTCGGGCGTTAAAGTCTCCTCACAAAGTGATCAGAAGATTGAAAAACTCTTTCTTTCTGTCATCGCCGATTGGTTGTTACTTCATAGCAAAGACTTTCCCAAAAATTTTGCCCAAATCTGGGTCTCTTCGCTGTATTGTCTAATGCTAAATTATATGTATGTGTCCATTCAATCATCCGCTATGCCTGTAATTTCAAAAATAACGTGTACCTGAGAAAGATAGGAGATTATGATAGCCTATGATTCGTTTCGAGTGAAAACTACTATAACTTAAACCATAACATAAAAATCAGAACAAAACCAGCATTATCATGGATCTCTCAAAATAAGCCTTACCTTCTGTTTACAAAACTATTGTCACTAGATCTAGTGATCAGGTTCCGGAAATCAACTCGTTCAATTTACCCTCCAATTCACAACAGAAGATTGTCTTGATTCATTCGAATTGAATTGAATAGTCATTAGTTAATTGATTAAGTTGCTATACTTGAAACAACATTTAAAATTGATTTCAAGAATTCGAAATAACGTTATAGGAAATCGGTGTGGCACTCCAGGTTACAATAATTGAGATGAACCGAACGATCAAATCTCGATGTTTTATTCAAATCAAAGCATACGGGTTATACGACATAATATATCCCAAACCCTATTGCCTATTGATTAATATGGGTTAGAATATAGACTTTTCAATGAAAATCTGTAGTTCAAACTCAATGATCTAATACTTGCACAGTCAAAGAATCGACAGGTCTACGGTATATAATCATCCTATACTATCTAAAACTGTGTTTTTATTGAAAATACAATAATAGACAAAATCACCATATAATCATCTCCAGTTTAGGGTTCTTGACATAAGTCAAAAGATTCAAAGAAAAATAAATGACTCTTCGAGCTTAAGCTACTTATAATTACTTACAGTGAGTATCCAGTTTATGGGGTAATTGAGTGCTTCTCTTATGCCCAAAAGGTAGATGAAAATCCAAATTAGCGTTCCAATGAAACTGACTGTCACGATGAATAAGAAGAAGTGGGAACCTCCGGTGTATGCTGGCGATCCTAGAGCCATAGCGAAGATGCCCAAAATCTAAAAATAAGAAAGGATTTTTAGTTTTTTCTTTTTAAATACATATGTCTATAAATTGAAAAAAATAATCCATATATTTCATATATAGCCAGTCCAAACTCTAGTTACAACAACACTATTTTCGTTACTAGACTTCTGTTAGTCATTGAAGAAAGAATTCTCTGATAAACTGATATTGTGTTTTAAAAAAAAAAAACAGCTCAATTTACCTTACATCTCATTAGTAATTAACACTAATTAAGCCTATGTGCATTTGTGAATTTAAAAAGCCCGCCGTGTCAATTTTAGTTTGTCACGACTGGTTACTCCATCGCCGAAAGTTTCCAATCCATCATAGAGGTTAGAATTCTACGCATGACAAAATCATTACTGTTTTGACGCAATTTTGGTTTCAAATTTCATTAAATGCATAAACAAACCCATAACAAAAACGCATTTGCCCAAATAAACGCCAGTTACGAGAAAGTATAATGTTATTATAAAAAAACGAAATCTCCATCATGAGCACCGCGAAGTACTGTAACGACGTTTGTAAACAATGTTATAAGTTCAGTGGCTTTTACTATTTGGGTACCTGCACAACCGGCTATTTACTTTCTGTTTAGTTTCGACTCGGAGTACCGTTGTAAAAATTCTTATCATTTCGCTTGGTTTAGTGCGACGACAGGTGAATTGGGGCACTACTTTTGCGGTACAATTTAACCTGATGAACTACTAAGGCGTACCTATTTCAATTTTGATGGGTGTCACAGTTTATACTATCGTGATAGATAGAATTGCAAAGTACATTTTCAACTTAATTATGCTATGTCGGTACCTATGTAATAATTATCATTAATTATTGCTCGATGTCAACTGTATCACAGGAGCATGAAGAAAATGAAGCTTTTGAAAAACACAACTTTTCAAAATGTCAGGGAATTTTATTTTATGTTGGCAGCAATCTCATAGATAAATATTAAATAAAGAATTTGCTTTAAAGACAATTGAATATGATAATGTCCCCATTATCTCTTTGTAACAAAAGTTAGTTGATTAGCTATCTAACTGAAAATTATCGAGCCACCTAACTGAAATTTATCACCTTTTGCAAACGCAGAATAAGTCAAAGATAAACCATATCTGTTTCTTAAAGCACCACTTCAATTTTTACAAGGTACGATGTAAAAAAGTAGGGAAGCTGCGGTTAGTAAATTTGCATCAGGATATCTGAGGAATATAAAGGGATATTCTATATCCTATAATCATCGGGCATAGATTGTAGTTGCATTCGGGGTCGTTACAGCTTGTTCTAGCCGATCTTTCTAGATATTTGGTGCGTGACTCTGCTTTTTACTGGTGTCCAACATTTGTAGGCTTCTCCCAGAGAAGGCTAGCTTTTTGTGTGCCCATCTGTTGGGATGTCAGCCGTGCCCCTTCAAGGCATTTGAGCCTCTCGCTGAATTGAGCAGGGCATTCAAAGATTTAATGTTTTGTAGTTTCTGTTGCTTGTTCGCAAGATCTACAGTGGTCATTGTCTGATTTGTCTATTGTTTTTTTGGTGATATTCAACCAGGCACTGTCCAGTGAGTAGTTCAACGACTGTTCTAATTTCTCTTCTGTTCATGTTGAGAAGCTGTTCAGATCTCTTTGCTGAGATGGGTATGGACCACTTTGCCTGTCTCAGACCCGAAATGGATCTCCAACGAGCTAGCATTCGGTCATTTTCCCATCAGTTCATTCACTTTACTGGCTTTTCATAAGTGAACAAAAAGCTCTGGGCCTTGAAAAGATGTTACAGCGCCTTGCTTTGCGAGACGGTCTGCCTCCTCGTTGCCCTCTATGCCTTGTTGTCCTGGCACCCATATCAGGGCTACTTTGTTCCTCCCAGCCAGTTGCTTAAGAATATTTTTACCCTTCCAAACTAGCTACGAATTGCACTTGATAGCTCCTAGAGTCTTTAAAGCCACTTGACTGTCAGACAGTATATAAATGCTTTCTTCAAGACACTTTCGGGCACAGATGTTTATGGCTAGTAACTCAGCTTGAAATATTGTGGGCGTTTTACCCATTGCTAAGAAGAGTTTAAAGTTTGGTCCAGTTATTCCCAGACCCACTCCTTCCGTTAACTTCGAGCCATCTGTGTACCACAATGATGCGTTGTCCGCTTGCGGTAGCTCTGCGTTCTTCCATGATTGGCGTTTTTTCACAACCCCTTCATATGAAATGTCAAAATCCAGTGATTTTATCATATGATCTGTTGGTTTACTTTAGCACTCGAAGTTTGTAGACTGGAGAATGCGTAAGGGGACATTCAGACTACCAGGTTTTAATCTTTTTGTCTGGAAGGCATCTATTATTGCCTCTTTTTTCACATGTAGATGAATCATTGGGCATAATATCATGTTCTCACATTCAAGAGGATATTTAGATAATAAATAAGTTTAAATATTGAATGACACACTATCGTATATCCGTATGTGCCCATCAAAGGATCAATCTAGCCCTTCCTTGAACAGGTCAAATACGTTCGCATCATATTACCCTGAATCAATTGCCTGACCACATGGTCATTAATTACTCATCCTATGACCCATAATGTTCCATTTCATTGAAGTTGATTCGACAGATTATTTATTACTTCCCTTTTATGTTAATTTGTTTCGCCTAATTCTGGGGATTAAAACAATTTTTACTACTTGGCTCGATATCTTGTCGCATTGCCAAGTAGTCTAATTTAATTTTTTCCAGTGGAAAATGATGAGAGTTCGGCTGTACGAGATTCTTTGGTGCTTAAAATATCATCAAAATTACTTATAAGTTGGTATTCTTTGAAATGTTTCACACAAAATCAATCTAAAAGTCAATAATAATTGAATCGATTGTTATCGTTGGTTAACGACAGGAACGTGATGTTTTGCAGGTTAGGCGATTGGCGTTTATGGGAAAACTCATAACTCATCATAAAAGAGTAGGTGCCATGACAAATCAAAATGTATTACTGAAAAGGCGTTTCAGTACCTACTGTTTCAAATTTGCACGCACATTTAATAATTTTGTTTCACTTTTGCCTCAAGCTTTCACTGGTAGATCATAACTTATCAAGTTTTGTTCATTTTATTGAAATATAAACATTGATAAAGCCAGCAAGACAATAATTTCAATTTCCTTTCGAATAGTCAACTATTATACTAGGTACGGATTCGACACAAACTTTAGCTCAAGTCGAATGTCTATTTACCTTCCATTACTTATCTCACTGGTGCATGTCGCAATTACCTATTTTTACATACCACGCATAGGAGGCAAAGAATGCCTGTTTCTATTACCGCAATGTATTACGTAGTACATGGGTGCATTACCTATGTAGGTATAATATTTATATACAGCCTTCATATATATTATTACATATCGGAAATGCCATTTTAGGAAACTATTCATGTTACTCTGTAATTTTAAAATTTTAGATAATAATATGTAGAGAACAGAAGAAGTAATAAGTTTAGCTATCAGTTAAAATTGATAAGGCTTTGTTCTGATTGTCAGAAATATGTCAAAACGAGCTTTTTACATTAGTTTTTTGTTTCTGGTGCAGAATTCCATGCAGTTTAAACTGATGTAGGTACTGGTGTTGCATTGTATACTGGGAGTCATTTTTTAGTATTTTGTATTATCATTGAGTAGATAAGTCAAGGACGAAGTTTGGTCTAATTCTTCCGTCTCTACGTAAATTATTCATAGTGGACTGTAAAATGTGTCAGAAATTGAGAATGTACCTACCTATTTTGAAAAAGATAGTGCAAGGTTTGGGAAAAATGGATGACAGTTGGACTCGTAGCCGTCATTAATCGTAACTCCAAATTTCTACAATAGATGTAAAGCAGAATCAACGCCAATAATCATCATATACGGAAACCAGGGCTGGGACTCTGTACCGAATAGAGATATTTTCTCTATCTCTATTGACGTCTCCTCTCTATTGATTTCGACAAGAGGGAAGGAGACAGCAAGTGCCTTAGCAATAGGGATAATGATCTTTATCCGTTACAGAGTTCCAGCCCAGATTCATGCATTGGTCAAGTGACAGAAAGTAAAATTCCGTTCATGCAAAGACGTTACGTTGAACAACATTTGCTTTGTTTCAGGCCATGTCCAGAGACCGCAGATAGACTTGTGCTGCATGTATCCATTGTACGTTTTCACAATGGATATATGCAGCACAAGTCTATCTACGGTATTTACTTCATGTCGCACGTTGCATGATGCATGTTTCATGTTTCATTGGTGTACGACCGCACTTAGTTAGCAGAACCCCTTCCAATAGGGTTTCAACAGAAAACAAACACAAGCCGAAAAATATCTGTAACAACGATGACATCCAAAGATAATGAGGATGAATGCAGCAGACAACCAACCTCCCAGGCAGAAATAGACTTAGAATATAACACCCAAATTTCCCATAAGGGGTTGTTCCACGCAAACAAAATTATTCTCACTTCCACATTGTAGGACCCAACATGAGGTTTCTAAAACAGTGGGAGAAGCAGAAAATCTGGCTAAGATTGGACGATCTGCCTAAAAAGTGTTATTGGAGGAAGCAACAAGTAGGTACTTATAGATCGAGACCATGAATGTCAAGGTTGGTTGCTTATAGGGGGGATCTAGGTGGTGTGGCCTTCCATGCACTGCAGCCTCTTGGCTTGTTCTGCACCTCAATTTTCTTCTTGCCCTACAAGAGTCCTGTTCCCTGTATCAGACCTAATAGTCCTTGGACAAGGTTTTCTGTATTGCTCTGAAGAGTCTGTATCTTTTGTGTACTAGGGCAACACAGTCATATATAATGTGGGAAGCTATTTCGTCTTCCTCTCCAGATAGTCTGTATTCAGTGGGTCCATTGAATATCCCCATCCTGTACTGATGCTTCCTCAACTAACAGTGTCCTGTCAATAGCCCTATCACTTGTCTCATCTGTGTGCGCGTAAGTCGAAGCACGTCAGTTGTTAGTTTCGTTGAAGGGTTTC